AGGTAGTAGAGGGTGATGTACATGGGGGGGGAGTTCTGGGCGCAGAACTCAGCAGGGAGCGCAGCGCGGTAGCGAGTGTCACTAGTGCGGAGGTGCGTAATGAGGTCAGTGACTGTGGCAAAGGCAGCGAGGTCAGGGAAAAGGTACGGGAGCATGAGGCGGCTAAGCGCAGCAGTGGCAGGGGAAGAGTAGCGTGCAACTACAGCGTCGTACAGAGTCCTAGCACTCTTGTACTGACTAAAGTGCGCGCGCTCAGTAGCTGGTAGGTGTCTGCGCACAGCAAGGCGGGCAGCAGCATCGCGCGTGAGCTACTGCGAGCGAACGGTACTGTCAGCATCAGCAGCAGGGGCAGTAGAGGCGCCCGACGTAAGGTCAAACAGGGAGAGGCCATCTCTGCTATCGCACTGAAGGAAAAGCTGCAAGTCATCGAGCCAGACATCAAATGCAACCGCTCGACCCTCAGCATCAAAGGTGAGAAGGGTAGGACTAGCCATGATAGGAGCAGCAGGAGACTAGCAGCGGCAGCAGTGCAACTGAGCTAGGCAGGACAGCGCGACTCGGCAGGGCGACTCGACAGCGCAGTGCGGCTCGGCCGCGCGGCTCGGCCCGGCTAGGTCTCACCAGGGGCAGAGCCGAGAGTTCGGGGCTGGGTCGGGGCCGGAACAGGGCCGGGACAGGGTCGGGGCCGAGTAGGGTCCGGGACAGGGTCGGGGCCGAGCAGCAACGGGGCCGGGACAGGGTCGGGGCCGGGGCAGGTCCGGGACAAAGTCGAGGCCGAGTGGCCGCGGCAAGGGCCGCGTCAGGGACAGGGCCGGGCCGGGCCGTGCAGGGACGGCGTAGGGGCCGCGTCAGGGGCGGCTGAGGGCCGCGTCAGGGGCGGCGTAGGGGCCGCGTAGGGGCGGCTAGGGGCAGCGTCAGGGGCGGCGTAGGGGCCGCGTCAGGGGCCGCGTAGGGGCCGCGTCAGGGGCCGCGGCAGGGGTCGCGTCAGGGGCCGCGTCAGGGGCCGCGGCAGGGGCGGCGCAGGGGCCGCGTCAGGGGCGGTGCAGGGGCCGCGTCAGGGGCGACGTAGGGGCCGCGGCAGGGGCGACGTAGGGGCCGCGTCAGGGGCCGCGGCAGGGGTCGCGTCAGGGGCCGCGTCAGGGGCCGCGGCAGGGGCGGCGCAGGGGCCGCGTCAGGGGCGGCGCAGGGGCCGCGTCAGGGGCGACGTAGGGGCCGCGGCAGGGGCGACGTAGGGGCCGCGTCAGGGGCGGCGGAGGGGCCGCGTCAGGGGCGGCGTAGGGGCCGCGTCAGGGGCGGCGTAGGGGCCGCGTCAGGGGCCGCGTAGGGGCCGCGGCAGGGGCCGCGTCAGGGGCCGCGTCAGGGGCCGCGTCAGGGGCCGCGTCAGAGGCCGCGGCAGGGGCCGCGTCAGGGGCCGCGTCAGGGGCCGCGTCAGGGGCCGCAGTAGGGGCCGAGTAGGGGCCGCGTCAGGGGCCGCATCAGGGGCCGCGGCAGGGGCCGCGTCAGAGGCAACGTAGGGGCCGGGTAGGGGCCGCGTAGGGGCCGGGTAGGGGCCGCGTAGGGGTCGCGTAGGGGCCGCGTAGGAGCCGCTAGGGGGCCGCGAAAAAAAAAAAAAAAAAATTAGGGTAGGGCGCAATGCGCTTCGGGCAGCTAAAAGAAAATTCTTATGGTGGGCCCTTAGGAAGGAACGGTCCCATGTAGGAACCCGCTCTATACCATGTGATGAAAGAAACAGGAATGAATGAACTAGGAAAGTGTGAGATACAAATATGAAAGCTGTACCCCTTAGTGTCTACCCCACTACAGCCTACATAGGCTAAGGCATATACATCTGACAAGATATATCCATCTTTATCTAACCATCATCATCATTTTCAGTTTCAGACAATAAGGGCCACATAAATAGGGAACATGTTGATGTAAATGATGCACCAAGATGATATATCAATTTCATTGTTTGTGCGAACCCCAAAAAGACTCTTGTTGGTTAGGTATTTGATTTCTCCGTCAAGAGATGTATGATCAATTCTCTAATATCAACCCAATCATGTTATAATATACATACCATTATTGTTCCTGAATACCCCAATCTGCCCTAGCTAGTTTCATAACACATTATACATGGCTAAAATGGTTAAATGAAGTCCAGATACATAAAAAACTTATGCATGCGGGGGTTTTAAAAAAGGGAATGCTGATATTAGGACCCCCCAAAAAACCTTCCTTTCCTTCCCGTCCCCCCATTCCCCTCCTCTCTCCCCACCCACTCCCCCTCGCTAGCCCTTGGCAAGGGTACCGTAAGGAAAAGTGCATTCAATGTTTGGGATCCCACATAAAACTGTAACGCAATATACAACTCAGTGTAAGACCATATTGATGGTGGAGTACCACTCCGGTGATGATTTCCCGCGCATTTCCTGTGGGTCTGGTGGAGGGAGCCTAGGGTTTCGTGAAGCTTATGCTTGATTCCCTTGGAAAAATCTTGGTCAGAAGCTGCCTGCGTTAGACTAGCAGGGTAGGAGGAGCTTGGTGGCCTGGTTCTGACAACTGACTACAGTGATATTTCATCTTCAGGATCTGAAGTTCAAGCGAAGGCTAAAGCCATGGCATCGGGTTATGGCCGCTCACCCTACGACTCGGTTCGCCAGTTCGAGTCGCAGCCGCCCTCACGCAGCGGTTACGATTCCTTGGATCGCGACCGTCCATCCGCTCACGCTTCTTATCGCGAACGGTCGCGATCGCCTCGACGATCCGACAGTCTCGCCGGCGCTTCACGGGATCGTGACCGCTACGGTGTAACTGACCGGTCAGGATTCGCCGGCAGGGATCGGGAGCGCGAACGCGACAGAGAAGCCGGCAGATCCTACGATCGTGACAGGGACAGGGATAAGGACAGTTACCGCGACCGGGACCGTGAAAAAGATTCTTCTCGCGAAAGGGAGAAAGATCGCGATAGAGGCGATGGTCGAGAACGAGCCTCAGGATTCAGCGACCGGTACGATTCTGCCGGCCGGAGCAGCAGCGGCGGTTACCGTGACGACAAATACGACCGCGATCGTGACGACCGGTACGACCGCGACCGTGACGATCGTTACGGCGTGTCTGGCAGCAGGTTCGGCGGCGGAGGACCCATGGGGATGGGAGGTCCGCCGTTAGGTCCGCGCGGAATGGGAGGTCCTGGAGGTCCGGGAATGAGCGATCGGTGCAATGCGTGCGGCGGGGTTGGGCACTGGGCGCGTGAGTGCCCGAGCAAGTTCGGCGCGCGAGGCGGGTTCGGCGGAAGGTTCGGCGACGATGGGATGGGACCCAAGTGCTACGAATGCGGGCGGAGGGGACACGTGGCACGAGAGGTATGTCCGAGTGGAAATATCTGGTCATGATCACGAAGCTGTTGGAGGTTGTTCCACTTACACCCCCTTTCGTTCGATCCGTTCCCTTTTTAATTGTTTAATGTTTCAAGCTCTCTGTGTGATTGTTTTACGTCGTTGCTGTTTGTACATGTATTTCCGTTTTTTTCGTCACTTATTCTTATGCCTTTTGTCTCCATTAAAGTTGGTCACCCGAAGCAGACGTGGTTGATCCGTTGGTCGTTCCGTAGGGTTAATTGGACATAGAAAGGACACCAGCCGTTGCCTCTCTTGTGGTGAAGAAAGAGGGAGATGAAGAGGGAGAGGTAAAGGGAGCGAGAGGGGGAGCAGAAAGGGATGAGGGAGAGTGCGTTGTCAGGAAAGCACGGCCTTTGCGCAACGCGTGAAAGTGGCGTGTCTGCATGTGCGCTCTTGCTCCTTATCCTTCTCCTCCTTCTCGTCCTTCCTTGAGGAGCTTTACATGCTCGGTGCGAAGCAACGGCGAAGGTGGGTCGTGCGCGTAGCTGTTAGATTAGAGGAGAAACGATGGTTTAGGAGGGTGAGGGGTAGGAGAAGGAGGGCGACTGGGAGGGCTGGACGCTGAAAATAATGGAGGTGAAGCGGAGTGGAGAAGTTGGAGCGGTGAAATGGAGTGGGATGGAGAGAGATGGAGTGTGGTGGCGTGGAGTGAAGAGGATTGGAGCGGAGTTGGATGGAGTGGAGTGAGGTGGAAGGTGGAGTGTGGTGGCGTGGCGGAGGTATACACAGGAAAGTGGGCAGAGGGGAAAGACAAGGAAGAGTTGAGAAGGTGGATGAATAGGGGTGGGCGGGGGTGGGGCGGGGGCGGGGGAGGTGGGGCGGAAGAGGGGGAGAGATATGAGACACTTGTCGTGCACTGCCTCTCCTTGCCTCCAACGTTCTCCGCCCAGCCTTCCTCCTAGCCTCCCGACTCGAGGTGCGCACCTCGACATTAGGCCGTAGTTTACACGACAAGGTGGGTAGGCTGAAATAATCAGTTGGCTGGCTGTGCTGGCGCTGATTACGAGGCGTTGTGCTGGCTTTAACCCCCTCCCGTTCGTAAACTGGTTGTCAGCGCGAATCTCTGCGCCTCCCTGCCGTTCGTTGCACTGTCGCTTCCTCCCTCTCCACCCCGCATCACCCCACTTCATCCCTGCAGGGTGCACCCCCACTTCATCCCTGCTCATTCGATCTTTGAAGGCACTTTAGATCGGAGCAGCTGGGGTGCTTCACATCTACTGAACGGCGTCAAGGTCCCTCTGAGCCCCTCTCCACCCCTCCCGTCCCCCCTCAACCGCTCGTCATCCCTCTGAACACCTGCAGTGTCAGTTCAAGCAGGGCAACCCCGACGGTCCCATAGAGCAGCGCTGCTACGTGTGCAACGAAGTGGGTCACATCGCCCGCGACTGCCCCGCCAAACCTCCACTCGGCGCCCCCATCGGAGCCATAGGCTCGGGCCGAGCCGGGCCCGGGTTCGGCCCAGGCTCGGAGTTCGGTCAGGACGGGTGCTACTACTGCGGCAGGAAGGGGCACTTCGCGCGGGAATGCCCGGAGAAGTTTGGCGGCGGCGCGCCGATGATGCCGCCCGCGGCAATGGCGGCGGCGGCGGCTGCGGCAGTGGGAGGGCTGGGTCCCGGGATGCAGGATCGGTGGATGGGGGGGCTGGGGGCGGGGATTGGCGCGTTTAGGCCGGGTTTTCCGCCTGGGATCGCGGCGTTTGGGGCGCCGATAGGGACGGGGTTTCCGCCGCAGGTGGTGCGGCCGGCGGGAGACGGGTGCTATGAGTGCGGCGAGCCGGGGCACTTCGCCCGAGAGGTACGACACGCCGGTCGCGTGCTAGCGTTTGCTGTGTGTGTATACTACGTTTGCAGTTCACTCTTGGTTCATTGATGAATTTTGCACGCGCTTTGTCCTACTATCATCCCCCGACCCTTCCTCCCCCCCACCCGCCCCTCCCACCACCTTCCCCCCGTCCCAACCTTCCCTCTCCGCCCCCCGTTCCCACCGTTCCTTTCTTACCCCCATCTTTCAATTCTCTCCCTTTCTCGCAACCTGCTGCCGTCTTGTTTCGCCTCTGTTTATTCCTTGCTTATTGATCGCGCCGCTTTGTAGACCCTGCTTTGTTTTGCTTGTTTATCGATGTACTTTTCTTTTCCCCTCTTTCTTCGCCCTCCCCCTCCCGGCTGCTCCCTTCCCCCCCACCTCCCTGCTGCCCCGCTCGTTCTCTTCCCCGCGCCTGTCTCCCGCAGTGCCCTTCCCGGTCGCGGCGCTTTGCGGAACGGGCAGCGGCGGCGGCGGGGGCGGCGGGGATTGCAGTGGCGGGGACGGGGGCCGAGGGGCGGCGCATAGCTTCCAAGGCAAGTGGGAGGGCGGCAGAGGAGGCGCTTAATAATGAGCTGGAGACGTACATGAAGGTACACTCGGTTTCGTGGTTATATACAGGTGCCAGTTCTGGTGTAGATCGACTAGGTTGAACCACCGGAGGCGCGTAATAATGAGCTGGAGACGTACATGAAGGTACACTCGGTTTCGTAAATATAGATGTATATGAAGTTGCTAATTCTGGTTCTGGTGTAGATCGACTCGATTTAGATACAAGAGGCGCGTAGTACTGAGCTGGAGACGTTTTTGAAGGTACATTCGGTTTCGTGGTCATACATTGAGGTGTTAGTTTTGATTTGGGTGTATTTCCACTCTTTAGAGGCAGAGGAGGCGCTTAATATTTAGCTGGAGATGTATACGAAGGTATTCTAGCTCTGGCTTGGATCAACTCCTTTTAACCACAGGAGGTTCGTAGTAATCAGCTGGAGACGTACGCAAAGGTACATTATTTTCGTGACTTAATGTAGGTGCTAATTCTGGTGCGGGTATAGATGGGCTTTGTAAAAACGCAGGAGGCAGTTAGACAATGAGCTGGAGATATAACGTAGGGGAGGGTTGGGTTTCCATGCTGTTTGGTGGAGTGGTGTTCCAACACATGCGTGAATGCATGTCTGGGCTCGAAATTGTTGTTAGGCGCCTCAAAAGTGGAGTGATGTTCCAACACATGTGTGAATGCATGTTTGGGCTCGAAAATCAAGGTAGCAAAGAGTTGCCGTATAGGCGGAAAGTAAAGTGAAAACCGAAAGATGACCAGGTTGTTTCCTGTCTCAAGGCTATTTTTGAAGAATCACAGCACCAACATGCTATTTTTTTCCAATTGGCTTTCTTTGTTCTTGTGGGCTTTGCTGCAGGACAAGGCTAGGGATGGGGGCAGCAGTGAGGAGAGGGAGGAGGAGGGCAGGAGGCGCGGCGGGAGGGAGAAGGATGCAGAGGGAAGAGACGAGGTAAGAGGAGGGCGGAAAGGGGGAAAGGATTCCAGTGATAGCGACAGTGGTGTGCGGAGGAAGGGGAGAAGTGAGAAGAGGGGAGGCGACAGGAGTAGCAGGAGGAAGCGCTCACGATCGAGCAGTAGCAGGTCCAGGTCGGGGGGTAGTAGTCGATCGAGCCGCTCGTCGGGATCGAAATCGTCCCGGTCGAGGAGGAGTAGGTCTACATCGAGGTCGTCGCGATCGAAGTCCTCCTCTCGCTCAAGAAGTAGATCCAAGTCGTCGCGCTCGTCCGCCTCGTCCAAATCAAGGAGTACGAAATCGAAGAGTGGGGGGTCTAAGAGTGGGGGGTCGAAGAGCACGGGGTCGTCTTCTCGGCGCAAGGGGTCGCCGTCCTCCAGTGATGCGTTGTCTGGGAGGGATGGGAAGAGGAGGGGTTCTGAGGAGGTGGTTTCCAAGAGTGACGATGGTGGGAAGGAGATGGAAGGGAGGAGGAGGCGAGGAGGGAAGGGGGAGGGGCGGGAGGAGGAGAAGAGGGAGAAGGGGAGGGAAGGAGGAGAGAGAGAGGGGAGGAAGGGAGGAGAGGAAGAGGGGAGGAAGGAGGAGGAGGGGGGAACCGGGAGCAGGGGAAATGAGGGTGGAGAGGAGGGGGGGAAAGGAGGGGAGGACAGGAAGCAGGAGGCAGCGGAGCAAGGTAGGGGGGAGGAAGGAGCAGAAGGGGGAGAAGCGAGAGGAGCAGGTGGGTTGAGCGAGCGGCGAAATGAGGGGAAGGCAGCAGAGGGAGATAATATGGACGAGGATAAAGGGGAAGGGGCGACTGCAGGGGGGGCTGAAGAAGTGGGTAAGGGAGGAGCTGCAGGGGCTAGTGAGGGTGTGAGGGGGGAGGATGCAGGAAACAAGCGCAAAAGGACGAGTGAGGGTGAGAATACAGGTGGGAGTGTGGGGGAGGGAGGGGGCGAGGGGATGAGCTTGGGGCTGGATGCGATAGCAGCGGCAGCTGAGGCTGAGGCGGCTGGGGCAGATGCTGAGGAGGGAGGGAAGGAGGGGACGGAAGGACGTAAGTTGCTTGATTTGAATGAGATGGAAGGAGGAAATGATGGGCGTGTGGATCAAGGAGGGCATTGATTGGTTTGGCCCCTGCACACGCTCAGGTGTGTGTTGGATGTGCTTGTTGCGAGCTGCATTTTTGGCAAGTGGGCATTACTCGGCTAGTCAACTCGAATCATTCAAATAATTTGAATATTGTGCACTTCTTATGCTGTGTTGGTTCTCATTGGTGCAGGGCCGCTGGGGTTCTCGGTATGAGGATTAGCATTTGGTTATCTGTGTAACAATGGACATGCTTGACTCTGTTGAGACTTCTGTTTAGAATCATACCAGGAATGATATCTGACCAATTCGTGGTTTTTTAGATGCAATTGCAGTTTCAGTCACCTAGAATCCCAGACGGAATGCCATCCATGTCGCTTTGATACGTAACCTTTCGCCAGCGCAGCTGTTTTTCCGCCGCCAATCAAGCAATACAGCTCTTCAGATTCTCATGATCTGTGAATCGCCACCAGAACAGAGCAAAACCCCAAGCCCCTGGCGAATCCCTTGAAGTTGCCGAGCCCGCTTCAGTCTAACCAGAGCTTGCTCTCAAGACTTCTGTCAATTCAGAGTTCCGGCTCAGCAAGTCCTTAGTTTCAAATTTCTTGTACCAGCCAAAACTCTTGTTCTCCTCCAGTTTCTGCCTGGTCCTGGAATCTCCAAGCTCGTCATTTATCTCTACATACCCTTGTGAGTCGAACACCTGAATATCGACTCCGTCTGTGGAGAATCTCTTAAGGAGCATTACAAGGTTTAAAGTCTGATCTGCTGAAAGCTGGTCTTCGTGATCGAGTACTTTGAAGATGCTCGACATTAACTTGTTCCGAGCGGAGAAGGGCGGGAATCCAGAAATCATTCGCGAATCACAACGGCGAAGATATGCGAAAGTGGAGCTGGTCGACGAAGTGATCGCTCTGGATAAAGAATGGCGGGAATGTGAGTCCACGGATCGAATGTGATAACTTTAACATGCTTTCGCCTTTTTCTATCTCTTCCTCTTCCACAAGTCTTTTGCATGCTATGAAAACGTCGATTCCGGCTCGACTTGTTCCTGTGTTATCCAAGTGGTTTTATTCACTGGTTTCATTGGTTTTTTTTTTCTCTTCAGGCCAATTCCAGCTGGATCAGCTACGAAAAGACTTCAATAAGGCCAACAAGGAAGTCGCCGCCAAGAAAATTGTAAGTGCTTCTGTTTCTGGTCGAACAATGTGATCAAAAAGCTTCGTCTGCCGGTTTCCGGTTCGTGTCTTCCATGTGCTGTTTGCAGTTTGCTTTAATAAAGATTATCTTGCGACTCGTTCTTAAACCCCTCCGACTCTTGCTTTCTTTTCCTATTTCGAAAAAAACAAGCAAGGTCGACGGCGGAGATCGCGAAGGAGAAATCCATCGACAAGGCGATCAACGCCATTTTTTCACCTCTCATCGTTCTCTTTCGCCTCTCATCATTCTCCTCCCATTTCGCAGGCGAAGCAGGATGCGACGGAGGAGATCGCCAAGGTGAAATCCATCGACGAGGCGATCAAGGCCAAGGCGGTGGAGGTTGAGGAGAAGCGCAAGGAGGTGGACGCGCGCGTGAACACGATCGGCAACCTGGTGCACGACTCCGTGCCCGTGGACAACGACGAGGACCACAACGCCGTCATTCGCACGTGGGGCGAGCCTCGCACGGACGAGGGGGTGAAGCGCAACCACGTGGATCTAGTGCACATGCTCGACATCGCGGACTTGGAGAGAGGTGCGGCATTCAATCTGGTGTCGCAGCATTTGTCAATAATTGTTTCTGCCTTGATCTGCTTTGATCGCAACCACGTGGACCTGGTTCACATGCTCGACGTCGCGGACTTGGAGAGATCCGATGTTGGTTTCAATGTCTCCCTTCAGTAATCCCAACTACGCCTTGTTTCGCTTGGATTGCAACCACGAGGATGTGGAGAACATCCTCGACATCACGGACTTGAACGCGGTTATTTATTTCTTTTTATTTTCTCTCTTTTTGTTGCGTTTTTGGGTGTTTGTATCAACAGGTGCGAGCACGGCGGGAGGGCGAGGGTACTACCTCAAGGGGATGGGCGTGATGCTGAACCAGGCGCTCATCAGCTTCGGCCTCTCGTTCCTCGTGCAGCGGCAGTACACGCCGCTGCACACGCCCTTCTTCATGCGCAAGGAGGTCATGGCGGAGTGCGCGCAGCTCGCGCAATTCGACGAGGAGCTCTACAAGGTTCGTATTTGATTTAAAACGTTGGGAATTTCGAGAAATGAAGTTTGGAGGTCGAATAAGCCGTGCATGTGATTCTTTAGCTTGAGAAGTCGTTTATTGTGCACACATGTCCCACCATTTCCATCTTTTTTTTCGCGTGGCCTCACGTTTCTCGTGCGCTTCTGCCTCCGCTCCGCGTTTGGCTGCGCAGGTGTCGGGAGAGGGCGACGACAAGTACCTGATCGCCACGTCGGAGCAGCCTCTGTGCACGTACCACCGAGGAGAATGGCTCGACCCCAAGGCTCTCCCTCTCAGGTGACGCTCTTTCAGACCCTCCCGCCTTCCTCGATCCTTTTCTTTCAGCCCTTTCTCCCCACCCCTTCTCCTCCCCCACTCGGCCTCCCCATCCCGTTCCACCAACCCCTCCTTCTATTCCTTCTCACTCCTAATCACCTTTGTGTCGGCGGCTCGTCGGCAGAAAGCCCCCTCCTTTCCGCCACGTCCTTCCGCCACATAAGTACCGCCTCGGTGTTCTGTGATGATAACCATCCATGCTAATTCCGACGCTCGTCAGGGTCGCATGGGGACCCACATCTTTTTTACTCTCTTACTGAGAACACCAAGCGGGAACCAGGAAGACTCACGGTTGTACTGTTATTTGCGATGTTGTCTGTCGATTTCGTTTTGATTAAACTTGTTTCAGAATTTCGCGCTCATGACAGGTGGTCCAGGGATGTTACAAAACACCATGCTAATTCTGAACTCTGCCTAACGGAGTGTGCGGAAACACATCTCTATTCAAGCTGAGGACCACCAGTCGATCCTGAGTCGCGTGTTTCTCATGCTCAGTGTTGAAATTCTGTCATTACTCTTCGCTCACGGTCACAAAGACTAGTCACTGACTCTGCCACCCACGCTGCCCTGTTCCCTTGCCTTTCCCACTCCCACGTGGTTTTCTGCTGCTGCCGTTCTGCTTTTTCTACTGTCGGTTGACCCTTGTCTTCACCTCACCCCACCGCCTTCACCTCGTTCTCGCTCAGATACGCGGGATACTCGACGTGTTTCCGCAAGGAGGCGGGGTCGCACGGGCGGGACACGCTGGGCATATTCCGCATCCACCAGTTTGAGAAGGTGGAGCAGTTCGCCATCACCAGCCCCAATGGCACCGACTCGTGGGAGATGCACGAGCAGATGCTCAAGAACTCGGAGGAGTTTTACCAGCAGGTAGGTGGCTTGATGAGGCGGGTTGAGCCTGGGGTGGTTGTTTTGAGAGCTGGTTGTGAGAGTAAAATGCTTGCATTAAAATGATAATGATTGGTGCACCATTATTTGGACTGTCAACTTAGTTTGCATGATAAACCTTTGCTCAACCGCGACGATGCCCACTCTCGTATGAACACTAGCAGCAACAGCAGCAGCAGCAGCAAGAGCCCGATGATGATCCTTGTCTTAACCACACTGAAGGACGTGTGCCAAGGGGTTGGCTTGCCCAGTTTCTGCTCCTCACTCTCTCGCCCGTCCCCTCCTCGTCCTCCTCCCTATCTTTTCCGCCTCCCATCCATGTGCATTACCACCACCGCCTGTGCCTTTGTTCCGTGCCCGTCATTCTTCCGCCTCCATTCATTGTCGTTTTCTCCTGTGTGGGAGAGGGGAAGGGAGGCAGCGTGGCTGGTGCGGGTCCGCCTCTTGGGGTTGTGCACACTTGTGGAAAAACCTGGCTAGAACTGAGGGCTTTCTTGCTGCTGCTTCGGATTCTTAATTACCACTCAGCTCCTTTTTGGAATGGACCAGAAAGGACTGGAGACAACACCTGATCCTGCCAGTCTGTCTAATTGCAAACCTTTTCAAAACTATCCCGGTCCTAACGTGTTCTGACCGCTAAACTTTGAGGCGCCGAACAAATTCGTTTGATCTCTCACTCCTGTTTCTGTTACTTCTCCCTCCACTTCTTCCATCTGCCTCTTCCCATCTCGCATCATCCCAGCTGGGTCTGCCATACCGAGTGGTGGCCATAGTATCAGGCGCGCTGAACGACAGTGCAGCCAAGAAGTATGACCTGGAGGCGTGGTTCCCGGCCTCCAAGACCTTCCGCGAGCTCGTCTCCTGCTCCAACTGCACTGACTTCCAGGCCAGGCGCCTCGAGATCAGATACGGCCAGAAGAAGGTGGGTCTGTTTGTGGTTTGCTCACTGAATTGATGAGTGTTAAGAGGGGATGTAGGTTGCATGTGAGCTTGTTTCCTGCTCCAACTGCACCGACTACCAGGCCAGGCGCCTCGAGATCAGATACGGGCAAAAGAAGGTGGGTTCTGTGCGTGAAGTGTTGGAAGTGAGAAGCTGATGGTGCTAAGGTGCTCCTGTTTGTATCACTCTCTGTGTGATAGCACTTAAGGCACTCATCTCACACATGCATGCCCTCTCTCCTGTTTTCTCTCCCTGGCAGATGAATGAAACAACTAAGCACTATTGCCATTTACTCAACAGCACTCTCACTGCCACAGAGCGCACCATCTGCTGCATCCTCGAGACCTATCAGACGGAGACAGGTGTCACCGTGCCAGAGGTGCTTCGGCCCTTCATGATGGGTGTGGACTTCATCCCCTTCGTAAACGGCCCTCCTAGTGCACCAGCAGATAAAAAATCTGCTAAAGCAGGTGGGAAAAAGGAGAAGGGGGCCGGAGGAAAGAAAGCAGAGGCCCCAGCTGCAGCGGCTGCTGTGAAGGAGACTGCGGAAAAGCTGGCAGAAGCTGCGATTGATGGAGAGAAATAAGTGAAATTTACCTTAATCAAGCGTGATCAACACCTTGTTGACTGTGGTTGGTGACTGGTGGAGCTTAGTGGGGCATTTATTATGAAATGCATGTGATGTTTGTAAGTTCCTAAGATAATAAATATTGTCAGCAGGGTTGCAGTGGGTTGACAGGAGTGACACTGAGCATGACATGTGTCACTGTTCTCCGTTACAAGCTCTTCACTTAGGTCGATATTTAGGCTGGTTCGCGGTTCTCAAATTACCCCTACACTTTTTACAGTACGGTTCGATAAAAGCGAATCCTTCCTGAGCAGTGAGTGTGCCGTTCAGTTGCACTGAACTCAACCGACCCACGTCGGGTATGCTTCACATTTGATTCAATGATCATCCATTCACCACCGACTTGCTTTGCAAATCTGACGGTCATACCGCAACGGCTTCGCGTCTCGCTTCTAGCAGATTCTCGCGTAGTTGTACCGTTTCGTTAGCGGTTCTTCTGGCTTCAGAAAGGCTTGGCTATCACCCTGCAGCTCTGTCATAAGTAGCTGTCGTACCTCCGACTTCGTCGTCGCTGACCGAATTTCATAACGAAACATAGGCGTCGTAGACTTCTTTCCCTCAGGTATTTTGAGAATCTTCGCGAATCTGCTCTTGCCACGTGGCAAGAGCAAGCAGCATCAGGTTCGAAATGATGAATTTTCCTGGTAACACAGGTGACGATAATCATGCCCTGGACGAATCAATGGACACGATGGAAAGCCTGATGCTCAATCCGCCCGATCAGCATCCGACACCTGGCATGGCATCTGGAATGGTCGGAGATTACAGCAGCATCTTATCCTCCAGCTCATCGCAGTTTTACACGTCAGATCCTCTCGGCCAATCCTGGAACCCGCCTCCCCTACCCACGGATTCATCCCCCGTAACATCCGCCTCGTTTGGCGGGTTTCCTGACATGGGCTTGGATCCGGCGCCGCCGCCTTATCACGAGGCTCTGCAAGCTCCACGTGTCGGTGACGTCAGCAGCAGCGATATATTTTCAGGGCTAGGCTTATCCGCATCAGGTGGATTAGGAGGCTCGGATTTCGGGCTTGGCATGCCCGCAAGCGGCGCCGACATTCGCGAGAGTGTAACGAGCGGGGTCTTTCCAGGAGGCATTGGGGGGTTCCCTAGTGGGAGTGGTGGCCCAGAAGCAGCATCTGCGGCGGCAAATGCGGCGTCTCTTGGGGGTACAGTACCAGGCCAAGTGACTGGCGAAAATGGCGGCAGCGGCGGCGGCGCTGGTGGCGGTAAAGGACAAGGGATGCCGAACGACTTTATAGACGTGAGAGTAGTGGGTTCTAAGAAGCTGCAGGAGGCAGGCGGCTCCATGATACCTGGAGGGGGGTCTTACGTGGCATATGTGATTGAAACGAAGACGAATGTGCCTGAATACGGGGGCCCCTCTGCCCGCGTGGAGAGAAGATTCCGCGAATTTGTCGCCCTGGCCGACAGGTACATCGGTTCGGTTCTGCTCGGTTCTGTACTGACTGGTTGTGATTGCAGCTGCTAATCTGCATATCGAGTTGACTTAGGACAATGGTTGCAAGGTTGCCTCTGTTGATGCTGTGATTGGTTGAACCAAGCTGCACGTGGCAGAGCTGACTCGGAATTTACTTCTGTTCTTCCGTCTCCTCCCTTGAGCAGACTGGCAGAAACCCACCGGGGTTATTTTATCCCGGTGCGGCCGGACAAGAACGTGATGGAGAGTCAGGTGCTGCAGGGGGCGGAGTTTGTGAAGACGAGGCAGGTGGAGCTCGATAAGTATGTGCAGCGCCTGGCACGCCACCCCGCCATCTGCAGGTAAGTTTCACGCTCCCTCTTGTTTGAGCCCACGTGTGAGTGACCTTGGTAGTCCACGTGGGAGTTTGTGAAGACGAGGCAGGTGGAGCTCGATAAGTATGTGCAGCGCCTGGCACGCCACCCCGCCATCTGCAGGTAAGTTTCACTCTCCCTCTTGTTTGAGCCCACGTGTGAGTGACCTTGGTAGTCCACGTGTGAGTTTGTGAAGACGAGGCAGGTGGAGCTCGATAAGTATGTGCAGCGCCTGGCACGCCACCCCGCCATCTGCAGGTAAGTTTCACTCTCCCTCTCGTTTGAGCCCACGTGTGAGTGACCTTGGTAGTCCACGTGTGAGTTTGTGAAGACGAGGCAGGTGGAGCTCGATAAGTATGTGCAGCGCCTGGCCCGCCACTGCCCAACCCGCAGGTTAGGAATGAATGAGTATTTGCATCAGCTGCCTGATGAGTGAAGGGTATGAGGGTCGGGTCTGCAGTGGGTATGGTATGGTGTGCAGGTGCAGCTGGACAAGTATGTGCAGCGCCTGGCACGCCACCCCGCCATCCGCAGGTGTGTCTGAGTGGCCTTTAATTCTTCCCTTTGAGTCCGCTCAAGAGGAACCTGCCTCTCAAAGCACTTGTCACCTTCCTCGGTCCTTGAGTCGACTTAGAAATCTCCTCGGTTCATCACCCGCCCCTCTCAACGACTGGACTTCACGCTTCCCAACCGAGTGAGGACCTGGTTTGGTTACCTTCCTCACTACATTCACTCTTCAACCCTCCTTGTTCCCCCCACTCCCCCCTCCCTTTTCCCCTCGCCCTTCCTCTTCCCGCTCCCTTCCTCCCTCCCCCAGGAGCGCGGATCTGATTTCCTTTCTGACGTCATCAGAGAGATTTCAGCCCGCCACGTCAGTAGACCTCGCTTCCCGCGTGCTGGAAGGTGCCGTGAAGCTTCCTCAGCAGCTGTTTGGGGCGGCAGACTCCATCACGCCGGCAGAAGCTGCCAAACCGGCGGGCGGCGGGAGGAACCTTCTGAGAATGTTCAAGGAGTTTGGGCAGTCGGTGGCGAACGATTGGACGGGCAAGCCGCCAGCTGTCAGTGGATCCACGTCAGCAGCAGGAGGAGGAGGAGGAGGAACGTCCACGTCAGCATTAGAAGCAGGAGCAGGAGCGGGAGCAACAGGCGAAGAATCCGGAAACTCCAGCGGAAAAGGACAAACGGCGCCGACCGCAGCGGAGGTCGAGGCGGACGAGGCGCGGTTCGGTTCAGCCCGAGCCAAGCTGGTAGACCTGGACAAACACCTTGCCGAGGCTACAGCCGGCGCGGTGCAGATGATGCAGGCCCAGGACGGCTGTAGCCGCATTGTGGGGTCCCTGGGCATCACGTTTGGATCCCTGGCTAAGCTGCAGGGGCAACGCCTGGTAGAGGGTGGCGCGGGGGGAGCAGGGGGAGGCGGAGGGGGAGGGGGAGGGGGACGCGGAGGGGGGGGCGCAGCAGGGATTGCTGGTGCGGGGGTAGGGGGGTCGGAAGGGGGAACTGGGTCGGAGACAGGGGGAGGGGGGGGGGAGGGGGAGGTGGATGGGATAAGGGGGCGAGGCAGCAGGAGCGGGCGTTTGTGGCGGAGTGTCAGAGCGTGGGCAAGGGCATGGTGCGCAGTGCTCAGTTGTCGCACAGCGTGGTGGAGAGGAACAAACGCACCCTGGTGAGACGGCGGCTCGGTTTGGGCTGGGGTGGGCGTAGTTGGGCAGGGTGTATGTGACAGCTCCAGGGTTACCCAGCAAACGTGGGGCAAGGGCATGGTGCGCAGTGCCCAGCTGTCACACAGCGTGGTGGAGCGGAACAAACGCACTCTGGTGAGACGGTAGATGCACTGGGGAGGGGGAGGGGTTGGAGTGGGTTGGGCTGGGTTGGACTGTGTTTGGTCTGTGTTTGGGCTGGGTTGGCGTTATCTTTTCTAGACGGGTCTCGAAGGATTTTTCAGGTGTTGCAAGAGCATGGTGCGCAGCGCTCAGTTGAAACACAGCGTGGTGGAGAGGAACAAACGCGCTCTGGTGAGACTGTAGATGCACAGAGGGTTTGGGCTGGGTTGGGCTGGGTTGGGCTGGGTTGGGCTGGATTGGTCTGGCGAGACACATGAATGGCTGTTGACATGTGACATGCCACTCTGCTTCACAGCCTCAAACACCAACCCAAATCCACTTCTCTGGTGGCACAACGTGTTTGGAGGCGCCTCAAAAATCGTCTCAGTTCATGCAGACACCAACCTAAATCCGCTTTTCTGGTGGCAAAACGTGTTTGGAACCCCCCCCCACTTCTGCACTCCCCCCTCTCTCTCCCTCTCCCCACCTTTCACCCCTCCCTCCCACCGTTCCCTCCTCTCCCCTCTCCCCCTCCTCTCCCCATCAGTCCATCCTCCTCGAATACCACAAGACAACGGCCGCCGCCCGGACGGCCCTCGCTGACCGGTCCCAGGCGCTGCTGACGTGGCAGACGCTGGAGAGCGATCTGGGCGGCAAGAAGACAAAGCTGGACCGGTTGGGGTCGGTGGACGGATCAGATCCCGCCAAGCAGAAGAAGGCTCAGGATTTGCAGAGGGAGATTCTGGCTCTTGAGAAGGCAAAAGAGGCTGCTATTAACGAGTACAATAAAATCACAGTGAGTCTTTTGATATAAGATTGGTTATGAGACGTCTCTGGACCAGTTAGGGTCAGTGGATGGATCAGTTCACTTTCTTGTTGAGGCGCCTTAAATGTCATCTCAGAACCTATTAGGGTCGGTGGACGGATCTGATCCAGCCAGGCGGAGGAAGGCTCAGGAGCTTCAGAGGGAAATTCAGGCGCTTGAGAAGGCTAAAGAGGCTGCTATTCACGAGTACAGAAAGATCAGTGTAAGTCGATTCTGTTTTTCCAGCATTAGACGGACCTTTGTTTCTTACTAAAACCGGCCCACCATTCTCATTGGGATTGCTATGCCTCAGAAAAGCAGCGGTGTATGACTGACTAGCCCACTGCTACCTGCTCAAACTCCTCTCTCAACGCCCCACACCCACCCCATTGCACCTCCACAGGACCGCAACGCGTCGGAGCTGCAGCGGTCTGAGAGCGAGAGGAGGCAGGGCAGCCTTTTGACTGACTAGCCCACTGCGCACCTGTTGAAATTCTCTTCTCAACCCCCCACGCCCCACGCCCACCCTCTTGCACCTCCACAGGAGCGCAATGCATCAGAGCTGCGGCGGTTTGAGAGCGAGAGGAAGCAGGAGTTTCTGGCCATGCTGGGAAATTTCGTGCAGGACCAGGTGCGTGCATGGGTGGCAGGACCAGGTGCGTGCATGGGTGGCAGGACCAGGTGCGTGCATGGGTGGCAGGACCAGGTGCGTGCATGGGTGGCAGGACCAGGTGCGTGCATGGGTGGCAGGACCAGGTGCGTGCATGGGTGGCAGGACCAGGTGCGTGCATGGGTGGCAGGACCAGGTGCGTGCATGGGTGGCAGGACCAGGTGCGTGCATGGGTGGCAGGACCAGGTGCGTGCATGGGTGGCAGGACCAGGTGCGTGCATGGGTGGCAGGACCAGGTGCGTGCATGGGTGGCAGGACCAGGTGCGTGCATGGGTGGCAGGACCAGGTGCGTGCATGGGTGGCAGGACCAGGTGCGTGTGTTGCATTCCTGTGTTGCTCTTCTTGGATTGTTGGGAGTTGAGAGTCGGGCGGAGTCGGGAGGAATTGGGAGGATTGGGGAGGAGTTGGGAGGGAGTGAGGGGGGGGAGTCGGGTCTTGGGTGTCAGGGGTCGATTTTTGAGTCGACTCAAAAATCGAGTCGGGTCTTGGGTGTCAGGGGTCGATTTTTTAGTCGACTCAAAAATGGAGTCGGGTGTTGGGTGTGAGGGGTGGATCTTCAGTTGCAAGATTTAACTGGATGCATCCCCGTTTCTCCATGCATACATGCATACATCCATCCATCCATCCTTACACATTCACCCATCCAGGTGCTGTGTGCACAGAAGATGGCAGCAATATGGTCACCGGTGGGGAAGGATCAGTCGTTGTGATATTTAAGCAGGTTAAATGCCCCCCGTTTCTCCATACATCCTTCCTTTTTATTCATCCATCCATCCATCCATCCCCGCAGGTGCTGTGTGCACAGAAGATGGCAGCAATATGGTCACCGGTGGGGGAGGATCGTCCATCTCAGTCCTGATTGAACACCTTTGTTCAAGCCATTAGGCATGCTTGCTACTCGATAGTGCCGTGGGTGCCATATTTCCACCTACGTCGAAGACAGTTCAAACGGAAACTGTTAGTGCCACTTACAACCGGGTATCAGTGTGTGAAGTGAGACGATTTTCCAGGCACCATAAATATACTGCCAGCCATATGTTCGGCAGTTAAAACGGAAAATGCTGTTGTTGGATACAGGTATCAATCAGTCGTATTACAGAGACTGTATTACAAGGACTTGGTAACGCTTGGTGCTGTGCGGTGATGTGCTGTGTTGGTGAGTGTAGAAAAAAACAAGTTGGTAACACTGGACCAAGTTGCGCCTCACTAGGCTATGCAGTGGTGTGGTGTGGTACGGTATGTGGTGTGCCCTTCATTGGGCTGAAGGGTGTTGGTGCCTGACCTAGCTATACTAGGGTTCCCCAACCAACCATGATTCTTGTTTAGGTGATTGCATGGCAGGCTTAGTGTGTGCCGTTATAGAGCACAGCTATTCACATACCGGTAGCGCAAAACTGTTTGGGAATAGCACGATCTGTATACTAGAAGATACGGTACCTAAAGGATGCTGCGTGATAAGCAATTTACTACGATTCACACACCCCATGCAGCATGCCAGTGGCAGTGATCCAAACGACAAGACTGTTGCTGGATGGAAACAAGGCAGTATATCGTGGACTGGTGTCCCATACACTCCCCCCCACCCCTCCCAACCCCCCATTCCCCCCCCCCTCACCTCTCCCGACCCCCTCTTCTCCCCTCCCACCTCTCCCAGCACCCCCCTATCTCCCACCCCCACCTCTCCCACTCCTTCCCCGCCCCCCGTCGAGCTTGGGAGAAGGCACGCTGGACTGATGCCACGTGTGTGTCATAAATGATAAAAGCTCCACTTCTTCACATGCGGGGCTCATGTCATCTGTACACCCTAATGGGGCCATGGAAGGAAGAGGAGGGGCATAGGAAAGGGAGGATGGTGTGGATGGATGCATGGTCTCAGCCCAACAGTGGCTTTTGAGGCGCCTCAAAAGGGGCACAGGGAAGGGATGGTGTGGATGGATGCATGGTCTCAGCCCAACAGTGCGGAATGCGTGTGGTGGGGGCAATGCGTGTAGTGGACGGGCCAGAGAGAAGAAGTGTGGGCATGAGCAGTGTGCGCTGCTGGCTTTTGAGTCGACTCCCCTCCCAGTGTGGGCAGAGTCGACTCCCCTCCCAGTGTGGGCAGAAGTAGGCATGAGCAGTGTGCGCTGTTGGTGTTGGCAACCCCTCGTCCCTTACTCTCCTTACAGGTAACCCTCACTATCCATCATCCTCCACCCACTTCTCACCCTTTCCTCCCCTCCCATCCTCCTATCCCCTCACCACCCATTCTACCCCTGAATCGTAGTGCACAGCAGCCTCGCCCCCCCTTGGTTGAATTTTGAGTCGACTCAAAGTCCCCTCCCATCCTCCTATCCACTCACCCCTATCCCCACTCACCGCCCATCAGTGTGCTTCTCCCCCTGAATGGAAATACACAGCTGCCTCGCCCCCCCGGTATTTGGTAACCGCTCTTCCCTTACTCTCGTTACGGGTTCCTCCACTCCCCTCCCATCCTCCTATCCACTCACCCCTATCCCCACTCACCGCCCATCAGCGCGCTTCTCCCCATGAATGGTAACACACAGCTGCCTCGCCCCCCCGTAATTGCGATGCTCGTTCATATAGATGCCCTGCCGTGTTGAGTTACAATCAGGAAAAAAGTGGTTCAACGGGAGGAGGGGCAGAGTGACACACAGAAGTTGCCTTGCCTCCCTCTAGTTGCGGTGCTCGTTCATATAGATGCCCTGCCGTGTTGCATTGGGATGATGCAGAAAGTGGTTCAGCAAGCAGGGTAACGTAGTTACCACACTTGCAGATGCACTTTAACGAGATGGATTGAAGATTGAAAAGAAGCATGTTTGCACATGTACCATGCCATGCTACTCATGCCATGCTACTCATGCCTGCCTGTAACGAGTGCAGGAAACGCACCTGCCATGTGCCGAGCTTGAAGCGACCAGACATGATGGGGACGGTGAGCGAGCAGCCCATTAGAGAAGACTTCACGTGGGCTGTGGGTGCGGTGGGGTGGGGTGGGGTGGGGTGGGGAAGAAGAAATGGGCGGTGGCAGCAAGGTGAATGGTAGCACGAGGGCATGATGGGGATGGTGAAGGAGCAGCCCACAAGCTAGGACTTGACATGGGCTGCAGGGATAGGCAGAAGAAGAACAGGCAGCAAGAGTGGTGACGGCAAGGGAGTGGCAGCATGAATGATAGCAACAACCACAGGAGCACAACAGCATTGAGGTGATTTTTAGGCGCCCTAAATATCACCTGGTTGTAAGGACCACACGAGCCCAACAGCAAAAGGGGATGGTGAGGGTAAAAGAAGAACGGGGACAGGGGAGGCGGAAGAAGGGGGGAGGATGAACTGCCGTGGGAGAGGGGGAGGAGGGATTCACCTAGCATGTCGTCATATCCCTCTTCTAAGTGGCTGTAATGGTTGCCCTCCGGTGCAATGGGTGTGTGTGGTGACCCGCGGTGCAATGCGATTGAGGGCAACAGCATCAGGTGCAACGGGGGTGCAAAGGGGGTGGGAGAGGAGGATGAACTCACCAGGCATGTCGTCATTACCCTCGTCCAGGTGGCAGTAATGGTTGACCTCCAGTGCAATGCGGTTGAGAGGGAGGGGAAGAGGAACGCACCTGGCATGTCATCATAACCCTCATCTAAGTGGCGGTAATGGTTGCCCTCCGGTGCAATGCGGTTGAGAGCGTCCTCCATGTCCAGAGGCACGTCTGGGCTTGCGTTCTCGTTGATGGTCAGGCTGGCGGAGGTGTGCAGCACTGGGGGGTGGGGTGGGTTAAGATGGGGTGAGATGGGATGGGAGGGAGAGGAGGGGACGGTGCAAGGGAAGGAGGCAGGTGTGAGTGTTTAGAGAGGGAGGAGAGTTGCGAGCTTCTGGACTGGCGTTCTCGTTTATGGTGAGACTGGCTTATGTGTGCAGCACTGGGGGGTGGGATGGGTTTGATGGAGGGGAGGGGAGTAGGGGACAGGTTGAGGGGTGGAGGGGTGGACGGGTGGTGGGGTGGAGGGGTGGAGGGGGGAGTTGGATACAAATTGATACAAGAAAGGCTCACCGATATTTTTCTAAGAAATTTATAGACTTTGAAACCGGCTCACCAAAGATATTTGCAATGCCGACGCGGAACTCAGTGATCTCTGGCACGGCCCGCATGATCTGCGACGTGATGATGTGGCAGCCTCTGATTGGCGCGGGTATGGAGGCATGGGGGTGGAAGTGGGGAGGTAAGGGAGAGAGCAGTGGATGGGGGTGAGGCGGAGGGGAGAGGAAGGGGGAGGAGGAGGGGGAAGGGGAGTGAGGGAGACATTGGAAAGGAGGCCTCGTGCTGAATGTGTCAATCAATTAAAATCTATACTAGGTCCCATGCATGTCGCCTGGGAGGCGGAATGCAGAATGCGTTTCGCCACGTGTACCGTTTGTAAGGCGGCAGCTCGATCGTCTTCTGGAACCACACCGTCGTCCCCGCCGCTTCCGCCGCCGCAGTTGCCTGGGAGGCGGAAGAAGCGGAAGCGGCGGAAGAGGCGGGGGGGAAAGAGGAGCCGAAGAGCGATGCGGAAACCCGGGTGTGGCGGGGGTGATTGCGGCGATCGCGGATTCTCAGCGGCGCGGGTGGTGAAAATGCGGAGGCAGGGGCAAACGCGGAGAGGTGGGAGATCCGCGCAGCATCCGCGGCGATGGAATGAGTCGCGCCGAGTGCAACGGCGAGTGAAGCCATGATGTGGCGGCAAGAGAACGCGAGATATACTGGAGAGAGGCACTACTTGTTCTCCACTCGTGCGTGGCGAGACACGAGAAACAGAATCAACGGAAAACGGCAGCTTTATTTAGAATTCCGAAAACAGGATTGCAGCAAATGCAGCGGGAGGAACCTTGCTGGAGATGTGCGGTTGAATGCGATTCGTTTGGAATCACAGAAGCATGAAATTGCGAGTACATTTGTGTTTCCCAACATTAAAAACAATGGATCCTGAGCAATGTCGAAAAATACAATATCAATAAAAGCAGTAACTTTTGGACTTTCAACTACATCATCGCGCGTTCTTAGGTGCCTCCAGAAGCGTCGCATCGCGCATGGTGCCTCCGGGAATTGCCGTCGCAGCTGCTGCTGCTCGGCGCGCTTCGCCGCTCGTCGTCGCCCTAATTCCCAGTCGTCCGCTCCTCGGTTCCCTTGGTCCGCTTGCCCCCCGTCTATCCTCGCCGTTCCAGGATTCCCGATCAACTTCCAGCCTAAACACCTTCACCACATTTCCTTCGACTAGAACCTCGTTACAGTCCCGCTCGTTACACTCTCGCGCGTGCATGGCGCCTCCCGAGTCGCTGATCTCCACTGAAGCCGCCGCCATCGGCGGAGACGGCGGAGATTCCGAGTCGTGCGCGATTTCATGGGGCCACCCGGAGCGGCTCGACCTGGCGATGGGATCGCTGGTGGACGAAAAAACGCGGCTCCGCAAGGACGTGAAGAAGGTGCTTCGAGGATTGACGGAGGAGCAACGCGCGGCTGAAGGTAAACCTCCCTCACCCTCCCCCTTCCCGCCAACAACCCTCCCCAACCCCACTCCAGCCCTTTCCACCGCACTTATTCTTGCGCCCTGTCCCCCCAACTCCCCTGCTCCTGAGCTCCCTTGCCCCAATTCTGCCTACATCAATCCCCCGTATTTTCCCTGCACTACCTCTCCCCTTCCCTCCTCCCTCCCTCTCTCCCCATCTCCCCTCCTTCCCTCCTCCCTCCCTCTCTCCCCATCTCCCCTCCTTCCCTCCTTCTCCCTCTCTCCCCATCTCCCCTCCTTTCCTCCTCCCTCCCTCTCTCCCCATCTCCCCTCCTTCCCTCCTCCCTCCCTCTCTCCCCATCTCCCCTCCTTCCCTCCTCCCTCCCTCTCTCCCCATCTCCCTCCTTCCCTCCTTCCTCCCTCGACCACCCTTTATCTTCCTGATCTCGCTTCGGCGCAGACGTGGCAGTGCAGCGCCACGTGGTGCAAGCTGATTGGTTCAGATCCGCGCAGCGCGTGGGTGCTTACATCAGCTGCCGGAAATTAAGGGAGGTGGAGACTGCTGACGTCATCAGCGACCTGCTGGGGAGAGGAGGTGAGATTGGATGAGACTTGATGGAAATTCTAGAAATTTCTAACCCCAGTTAGCCTCGAAGGTTATGGGAATTTCGCAGAAGCATACGGTGGTTTTGAGTCTAGTTCTCAGAAGATTATGGTGGTTCTGGGCAGGGCAATATGTCCCCACCTCTCCTCTCCCTTTCCCTCTCATTTTTTCTCCAACCCCCCCTCGTTTGCATCCCTCCGCCCCTCCCTTTTCCTGGTTTGCTTGCCGCACAGCCAGTGTGTTTGTGCCACGTGTCATGGACAGCGAGAGCCACATGGTGATGCTGAAAATCAACACTGTGGAGGTGGTGGGGGAAGGGCGGGGAGAGTTGGTTGGGAAGGGGGAGAACGAGCAGGAGCAAGGAGCAGCAGCAGCAGCAGCAGCAGCAGCAGCAGCAGCAGTAGCAGCAGCAGAAGGGGACTTGGCGCGCAATGGGATGGGGATATTGGAGCCCACCCTGACCCTCACAGATGGACGGCCTCGATCCAACGGTGAGCTCATCTCCTGCACAGATGAACCCTTTACATTTCGCTCACTGTGCCCTCTGTGCCTTCACGCAAGGTAACCTGTTCCACCCAAGTCTTATTGCCGTTTCCCTTTTGAAGCGCCGCAAAAATCTGTGATCTGCTTTCACATACAGGAACCTGTGATCTGATCTTACTGCCGTCTCCCTTCCACGTCCCGTCTATTCCCATCTACAGTGTACAGTGAACAGCAGCCATTGGATTTGATTCTTGTGCCGGGATTGGCGTTTGATTGCAGTGGTGGGAGGCTGGGGCGAGGAGGAGGGTAAGTCACCCCCTTCCGCCCCCTCCCGTCCTCCCCCTGCCTCGTCTTCCTTCCCCCTCACACCTCCACCTCTTAATCCCCAAACCCCCTTCCTATTCCGATCCTTTTCCAGGGCGCCTTTCCGCTTCTCCTGTCGTTTTCAATGCTGCTCTGGTTTGATTCTGCCTCCTCTCCCCTCCCCGTTACTCCTAGCACCCCTTCCTTCCTTACCTGTGCTCGTTGGTTTGAGTCAGCTCAAAAACGTTCTGCCTCCTCTCTCCATCTCTTCTCGACTCGACTAAAAAATCAAAACGCTACTCTCCCAATCTTCAACACCCGTTCCTTCCTTCGCTGTGCATTTGTCTCCCACCATCCCCCTTATTGCACGCCTCGCCAAAAGGTACTACGACGTGTTTCTCTCGCAGTACTTGGTGCATGCCCAGGCCAAGCAGTGGAAGCAGCCGCTCATAGGTGCGCCCCTGCTTCCTCTTAGCGTTGTTTTGAGGGGCTTAAATCAAGAATAGGTGCGCCCCTGCTTCCTCTTAGCGTTGTTTTGAGGGGCTTAAATCAAGAATAGGTGCGCCCCTGCTTCCTCTTAGCGTTGTTTTGAGGGGCTTAAATCAAGAATAGGTGCGCCCCTGCTTCCTCTTAGCGTTGTTTTGAGGGGCTTAAATCAAGAATAGGTGCGCCCCTGCTTCCTCTTAGCGTTGTTTTGAGGGGCTTAAATCAAGAATAGGTGTGCCCCTGCTTCCTCTTAGCGTTGTTTTGAGGGGCTTAAATCAAGAAAAGGTGCGCCCCTGCTTCCTCTTAGCGTTGTTTTGAGGGGCTTAAATCAAGAATAGGTGCGCCCCTGCTTCCTTAACGTTGTTTTGAGGGGCTTAAATCAAGAATAGGTGCGCCCCTGCTTCCTTAGCGTTGTTTTGAGGGGCCTCACATCAACCATAGTTATGCTCGTTCGCAGTACTCAACACATGCCCAGGCCAGGCAGTGAAAACAGCCGCTCATATGTACCCTCCGGTTTCTGCTCAAATCTCGCAGTACAATTTGTCATGTCACCTTTTGAGGCGCCTCAAAAGGTATCCTCCCATTTCCTCTCGAATCTCGCAATACAATATGCCATGTCACCTTTGAGTGTCACTCATATGTGTGGCTCTCTTGCCAGCAACTAACCGCATTGGACTCCCATTCACCTATTGCCATCACTGCATAGCACTGGCATACAAGGCTCAGATTATCCCCCTTGTCTCTCCCCCTTACCCACCCAAACACCCTCCTTAATCCTCCCCTCCTTTCGTCCCTCCTCTTCCCCACGAGCCGCCACCACAGTGGCATTGACCAAAAAGGCTCAGATTCTCTCCCTCCCCATGTCCCCAGGTCCCCATGTCCTTAGATTTTTCCTTGAATTCACCACATTAGACCGCAGCTAACCATCTTCAACTCTCCATTCCCCCATTGTCACCACCTCAGTGGCTTTGGCCTACAAGGCGCAGATCCTCTCCTCGCCGCTGCCCATGGAAACTTCTGATGTCCCCGTTAGTGGCATCGTGTGCGCTGACGGCTTCCTTGCACTGCATTGAACCGCAGTTAACCGCACGATGAAAGGTATGCTAGTCGTGCCGCAAGCACGTACGAGTCTGTCCTGCTTGTATCGTATCCGTGTCATCGAAGCTTTGTGTGCTGACAAGTTGTGCAACGCGCCGCTAAACCACATTAAACTACATACGGTACCTCCAGACCTCACATTGAACAATTGAAGTTGATACTTAATAAAAAACTAGCAATCATGGTGTAGCTATGGATTGGGTTATTCTGAATTCACTTGACCAACATTTGTTCATTTTCCAAGGAGAAATACAAACCGTCAAGCCCGCAAGCCCACAAGCCAAGCCCGCAAGCCAAGCCCGCAAGCCAAGCCCACAAGCCCAGCCCGCACCCACGCTACCAAAACAGTGCGTGCTGGGAGCGTAAACCACAATAGACCACATTAAACTACGGTACATGACCAGGGCCCAAAATAGGTTTTAGCTCACTCTTTCAAATCAGGGTGGCATCCCCTCCGTACCCTGACTGGTAGGGTAAAGTTTCTCGTACACTGATTTTAGCAGCCTAAAAGTTTTGGTACACTGATTTTGGCAGGATAATATATGTCGTACACTGTTTCCTTCCTAAGCATAAGATTGTACTACTACAACAATTACTTAGTTATCACTAAAGTGTTCTGCACTGCACCTACAAGCTTTACTACCAACCAAGTTAAATAAAGGGCCCTACAGAAGACACTAGTCAATCAACATCTGCTGCACTAGCAACTGCCTCGTCTGCAAACTGCTTAGTGCTGCTGGCCTTCATGCCGGAGAAGTCTTTGGTGGATCGCCTGAGCTTCTCCCCGCGGAATATGGCGACCACCTCATACCAGTCAATGTCGTACTGCAGGAGGGAGCACCGCATCAGGTGCTCAAGGCTTGTGTCGCCGAGGCTGCCGCGGTCCCACGTCCCATATTGCTGAAGCCGCGCTCACATTCAACCGTGCTCAGTGGTAGCACGGCGACAGACTGCCACATCCGGACGATGTTGGGGAACGACGCACGCCACGCCTCGTCGCGCAGCATGTTCCCCAGCGCCTGATGAAACTCCTCGCCGTTGTGCTGGGAGAACATGGTCGAGGTAAACATCCAGAGCTCCTGGCCGGCACGCTTGTAGTCGAACCCTGGTAGTGTGGAAGGGGATGATCATTGGCAGACGCTCATACGTACGGGTAGGATTGGGAGGCATTAGTCCACAATACAGGGCCGGGTGATGAGTAGCAACAAGCGCGATGGGAAACAAGCTGGTGCAAAGCTGTTTACGCAAGTCAATCACTAATACCCGCCCCATCTAACAAACACGCTTACCAGGCAGCTTGTGGTTGTACAGCTTGTGGAGCTGGCCAAGCCACTTCCTGAAGGACTCCAGCCGCTGGGTGTCGTCGGCCACATACGACGCCGTACGAAACAGCTTGGTGCCTTCGAGGAGGTTGAGGTCGCGCATGCGCCACTCCAGCTCCGCGTCCACTTTGCGGATGAACTTGAGCGAAAGCTCGAAGCACGCGGTTACATCACTGTCTGTCTCATGGCCTGGCAGGGGGCGTTCGTGCAGGGTGAATTCGAAGGAGACGGCGTTGCCGTCCGCGTCCACGCCTTCCGCTTTCATCTGTCGCTTATCCATCTTCTGGTGAGCCTTGATGAAGTCAGGCAGCTGCATCTTCTCTCCGCTGCCAAAAAAGTGACCAGGGGACCTGTCGAAGTAGCGCGTCTTCAGGCGCATCCGCGTCTGTTGTACAAGGTGCGCCACGAGGGTGACGTCCACCTGCACACACATAAGACATGCGGTCAGAAAGAGCATTGTAGGCGTGCGTGTAAGTACAACTGTGCTTGTCAGTTGGTTACCTGACGTTGCTGAAAGCGCAGATTGAGCTGGTTGAGCTCCCAGAGCACATCCGCGAGGAAGCGGATGAGCCAGTGGAACTTGAACGAGGTGACTACTGTCAGAACATTATATAGCTTATGCTGTTGTGTAGGCTATAGTGGGGTATCCCATAGGGGGTACAACCCAATTAGGGTTTCCTATATGTACTCACTTCAGTCATAGTTCATCCATTTCACGTTCTTCTTTCCACATGGAATCAGAGCAGGTCCCCTCCTAGGGACTGTTTCTAGGGCCCACCGAAGCGCGCCCCGAGGCGCGCTTTCCTTTTTTTTTAGCGACCCTCCGTGTCGCCCCTAGCGGCCCGTTGCGCCGCCCTTACCTACGCGAGCCCGCCGCCCTTACGTCGCGGCCCAGCCGCCCTCACGTCGCGGCCCCGCCGCCCTCACCTACGCGGCCCCGCCGCCCTGAAGTCGCGGCCCCGCCGCCCTCACGTCGCGGCCCCGCCGCCCTCACGTCGCGGCCCCGTCGCCCTTGCCTACGCGGCCCCGCCGCCCTCACGTCGCGGCCCCGCCGCCCTCACCTACGCGGCCCCGCCGCCCTCACCTACGCGGCCCCGCCGCCCTCACGTCGCGGCCCCGCCGCCCTCACGTCGCGGCCTCGCCGCCCTTGCCTACGCGGCCCCGCCGCCCTCACCTTCGCGGCCCCGCCGCCCTCACGTCGCGGCCCCGCCGCCCTTACTTCGCGGCCCCGCCGCCCTCACCTACGCGGCCCCGCCGCCCCACTTCGCGGCCCCGCCGCCTACGGTACCGGCCCCGCCGCCTATCCTCACCGGCCCCGCCGCCTACGACCGCCGAGCCGCCCTGCCGCCGAGCCGCCCAGCAGCCGAGCCGCCCGGGAGCCGAGCCGCCCTGCCGCCGAGCCGCCCTGCCGCCGAGCCGCCCGGGAGCCGAGCCGCCGAGCCGCCCTGCCGCCGAGCCGCCCTGCCGCCGAGCCGCCCTGCCGCCGAGCCGCCCAGGAGCCGAGCCGCCCAGCAGCCGAGCCGCCGAGCCGCCCAGCCGCCGGGCCGCCCTACTGCCGAGCCGCCCGACCTGCCCTGCCTGGTGAGCACAGCACCACTGTTACTGCGTGCCCTTCCCCTACTGCTTGCACTACTACACTGTCGTCGTCATGGCTACCCCTAGTGTCCTCGCTTTTGACGCTGAGGGTCGAGCCATTGACTTTGAGGTCTGGGTCGACGACCTGCAGCTGTTCTTACAGTGCGATAGGGCGGACGGTCTTTCCCTCTTTGACCTCACCTCTGGCGCCTCTCCTGCCCCTGCTGCTGATGCTGACCCCACTGTTCGCTCTCAGTGGGCCACCCGCGATGCTGCTGCACGTCTTGCTGTGCGTCGCCACCTGCCTACCACTGAGCGCGCGCACTTTAGTCAGTACAAGAGTGCTCAGACCTTGTACGACGCTGTAGTTGCGCGCTACTCTTCCCCTGCCACTGCTGCCCTGAGCCGCCTCATGCTACCGTACCTCTTTCCTGACCTTGCTGCCTTTCCCACTGTCGCTGACCTCATTACGCACCTCCGCACTAGTGACACTCGCTACCGCGCCGCCCTTCCTGCTGAGTTCTGCGCCAAGAACCCCCCCCCCATGTACATCACTCTCTATTACATAGTCACACGCCTCCCTGACTCCCTTCGCGTAGTCAGGGACCACTTCCTCTCAGTCTGTCCCACCACTCTCACTGTCGACCTCCTCGAGAAGTCCCTCCTGGCGGCGGAGAAGAGCATCGTCGCTGTAGGAGCCTCTCGTGGTGACCCTCGCACCCCCATCTTTGAGGGGTGTTCTCCTTCCCCCCTGCTGCCCTCTGTTGCCTCTGCTGCTGCTGCCGACCTGCTTGGTCTTGAGTCGGTCTGCGCGGCGTCTGCCCCTAGCGGGAGACGCCGCCCTGGCAGGGGCAAGGGGGGCAAGGGCGCGGGTGGAACTGGCGGGGGCGGTGGAGGTGGCGGTGGAGGCGGCGGAGGGAGTGGGGGTGGCGGTGGGAGTGGTGGCGGGGGCGGTGGTGGCGGTGGCAGCAGCGGAGGAGGAGGCGGTGGTGGCGGCAGCGGTGGGAGCGGAGGCAGCGGTGGTGGTGGAGGTGGAGGCGGCGGTGGCGGAGGGGGTGGAGCTGGTCGGGGTGGTGCCCCGCAGCGTAGCGGCTCTGGTGGTGGCCAGCGTCAGCAGCAGCAGCAGCAGCAGCAGCGTTCGCGGGACATCCCCCCGCCCCAGCAGCTCCGTGAGTGGTACACGCAGCGTCAGCGGGGTGGGGGTTTTGGTCCGTGCACCTACGTCCTTCGTTCCGGCGACCGCGCGGGTGAGCAGTGTGGGGGTGCCCACCCCACCCAGCGCTGCTTTGGCCGCCTGACGGACGCTTGGCGTCAGCAGTTCCCCGAGGCTAGTGAGATTCCCCGTTGGGGAGAGCTGTCTAGGGCTGGCGTAGCTATCTTTGATCTTGACTTTGATGCTATCCTTGCTGCCATGTATGCTGTGACTATTAGTGAGGAGGGTGACTGTTACCGGTGTTTCCCGCCCGACCCGGGCATTGGTACTGCTGCGCTAGGTACTTCTGCGGCTGCTGCTCTAGGTGCCAGTGCGTCTGCACTCTCAGGTACTGGTGAGGCTGCGCTCTCAGGTACTGCGTCGGCTTCGGCCTCCCTCACCTTCACGCTTGACTCAGGGGCTTCTCGCTCCTTCTTTCGAGACCGCACCACACTCACGCCGCTTGGCCGGCCGGTTGCAGTCTCCCTGGCTGACCCCTCTGGGGGTCCTGTCCTCTCTCACTTCTCCACTGTCCTCCCGTGTCCGGCTGCCCCCTCGGGCACCTTGTCTGGTCTGTACCTCCCCTCGTTCTCGACGAACTTGGTGAGTGGTGCTGACCTGCAGGATGCGGGGGTTCACCAGTTTACTCCTGCGAGTCAGCGGGTGACCCACTGCTCGGACGCCCGCACAGGCCGACACCTGGCCACGTTTTCGCGTCGGCCGGGGTCGAGTCTCTACACCCTGACCACTGAGTCTCCTCCTGTCCCTGCGTCTGGCCAGGTAGCTGCGTCGGGTCAGGTGTTTGCTGCTGCGTCCAGGTCTGGTCCTGAGTCTGCCCCCTGCTCGTGTCGCCGCCTGTCTCAGGAGACTCTCCTGTGGCACCACCGTCTTGGCCACCCCTCCTTGCCTCGTCTTCGGGGCATGGCTTCCCGTGTCCTTGTCTCTGGTCTTCCCCGGTCTCTCCCTCCCCTTCCTTCGGGACCCGGACCTTCCTGTGTCCCCTGTGTCGAGGGGCGGCTCCGGGCTGCCCCTCACTCCTCCCAGTTTCCCCCGACAGAGGCTCCTCTGCAGACGCTTCACATGGACGTGTGGGGCCCGGCCCGCGTCCGTGGGCAGGGTCACGAGCGCTACTTCCTGCTGGTGGTTGACGACTACTCGCGTTACACCACAGTCTTCCCCTTGCGCAGCAAGGGTGATGTCACTGAGGTGTTGATCGACTGGATCCGCGCAGCTCGTCTCCAGCTCAGGAGGAGCTTCGGCTCGGACTTTCCTGTTCTGCGTCTGCACTCTGACCGAGGTGGAGAGTTCTCCTCTGGCCTTCTGCGAGCCTACTGTCGTGCACGAGGCATCCGCCAGACCTTTACGCTTCCGGACTCTCCACAGCAAAATGGGATTGCTGAGCGCCGCATTGGCATGGTCATGGACGTCGCTCGTACGTCCATGATGCATGCGGCTGCCCCCCATTTTCTGTGGCCGTTTGCGGTTCGGTACGCGGCGCATCAGATCAACCTTCACCCCAGGGTCTCCCGGCCGGAGACCTCCCCAGCTCTGCTGTGGACGGGGAAGGTCGGCGATGCGTCTGCGTTCCGTGTCTGGGGATCTCGGGCGTTTGTCCGCGACTTGTCTGCGGACAAGCTGTCCCCTCGTGCTGCTCCCTGTGTCTTCCTCGGCTTCCCCCCTGACGCCCTAGGGTGGCAGTTCTACCACCCCTCCTCTCGTCGTGTTCTGTCCTCCCAGGACGTCACGTTCGACGAGTCAGTCCCCTTCTACCGCCTCTTCCCCTACCGCACTCCTTCCCTCCCCCCGCCACCGCACTTCCTTGTGCCAGGTCCCCCCCCGGTAGACCCCCTTCCCCCTCAGGGTCCTGCCCCTTCAGGTGTGTCCCAGGTAGACGCAGTCGAGCCGGTCGAGGTTGCTGGTGACTCTGGTCCTGCTGCGGGTGCTGAGCCTGGGGGTGCTGACTCTGGGGGTGCTACGCGCGTGGGTGCTGAGCCTGGGGGTGCTGAGCCTGGGGGTGCTGAGTCTGGGGGTACTGAGCCTGGGGGTACTGCGACTGGGGGTGCTGAGCCTGGGGGTGCGGAGTCTGGGGGTGCTGAGCCTGGGGGTGCTGCGACTGGGGGTGCTGAGCCAGGGGGTGCTGCGTCTGGAGCTGCTGAGCCTGGAGCTGCGGAGCCTGCGGCCACTGGACCTCCCCTTGTGGCGTCTGGCGGTGCGGGACCTGGCGGTTCTCCGGGTGCTTCGCCTCGGCGGGAGCCCCTCTCTCCACAGGAGCTGCGCGAGTGGTTTGCTCGCCGCTGGAGACGTACTGCTGGAGCTGGAGCTCCTTCGGCTGCTGAGGGTACTTGTGCCGCTGGTCCCGGAGCTGCTGGGCCCTCGGGTCCGCCTGGAGCTGGAGCTGCTGCGGGTGTTGGTGCTGAGACTGCTGCTGTCCTTCCTGGCGGTGGTCCTGCTGCGGGTGCTGCTGGTGCTGCTGGAGGTCCTGCCGCTGGAGGTGCTGTTGGCGCTGGTGCTGCTGCTGAGGGTGCTGTCCCTGCTGTGTCTGGAGTCGCCGCGCGGCCTCGGCCGTACTTCGTTCCACTCCTACAGCAGGTTCTTGGTCTTTCTCCTCTTGCAGCGTGTCCACCGCCTGTTCAGTCACAGTCCCAGTTAGAGCCCGCCTCCCCACTTCCTGCTCCCTCTCCTTACACTGG